AGAGGCGAGCACTGTTCTCCTTTCAGGGCTTCTCATTGGCAACGGTCTAAGTAAATACCCTGATGCTTCCTGACCCCATGCCTCCCTCTGTAGCCCAAGTCTGCTTTGTGACCTTGGCAGTATGGCTCTGTGTGTCTGAAATGGGCATCTTCCTTCCCTGGGGCTCTGGGATGAAGAAGTTCAGGATATGTGGATAATTTCTAAAGCCTTATTGAAGGAGCAGCTCAGTGCTTCCTGGTTTGATGTGTCCATTGGATTGCTGGCATTGCTTCGCCTGTCACATGGAGAAGGTACCTGCTATCTGTCAGTACTATCCTCACAGCATGCAGGGTGATCAGGATATGGGTACCAGGCAGATGTTTCTAGCTGAGAAGCACAGGGGTGAACTCTGGTTTCTAGTTGGGCATATGGGTAGCTTAGAGTTGCTACACTTTCCTAATAACAAGTAAAATGTAGGCAAGATAGAAAATCTATTGACATCCTCCTCTTATACCTGTCAGAGAATAAGGTCTCAGGGCAAATGCTGCTCTCAAAATTGGAGTCACCATCAGTCAGATGCCCCAAATCAGAGCTTCTCGGGGTAGAAGCTCACAAGCAGAAATTTCCACAGGAACTAGTGCTGTGTTATGAGAACCTCAGCTGAAGCCAACAAATTGCTGGATGTGGTGTAGACAAATATGAAAGTTAAAAACTCTAGTGGTGGGGCTGGGGTTGTGGCTCAGTGGTACAGTGCTTGCCTAGCATGTATGAAGCACTGGGTTTGATTCTCAGCACCATATATAAATAAATAAATGAATAAAATAAAGGTCCATCAACAACTTAAAAAAAAAAAGCCTCTACAGAGGCTGAGTCATAAGGGACCTCATGCCTTTGTGAATTTTACCTCCAGAGCACTATGTTCTTAGTAAGACCTGTCCTCTGGAGAAACTAGTAAAACAAAACCTACTCTACTGGGAATTTATGAGAGTCTAAAGCAAGCTGGGAATGGGAAAATAGGTTATGTCCAGACCCCTTTAAACTTATGTCTCATCTAGGCAAGTGAAAAACTGAGGAACACATAAAAACGTCACAGTATAGGGAACAGGCTTAGCAAAAGCCCAAGACCTAATCACAGCTCTATCAGATATTCTCCCCTTTCCACATGACCAGAGGCTCAGTGGTCGAGCACTTGCCTAGTATGTGTGAAGCACTGGGTTCAAGTCTTATGATTCATTAGAAGATTGGACATGGCTAAGGAAAGGATCTCTGGACTTGAAGATATCTCAATAGAAACTTGCAAAACTTGGAATCAAACAACAAAAAAAATACTGGGGGGAAAAACAGAGAACTAAATATTCAAAAACTGTTGGACAACTAGGAATATGTATCATATATGCCATGGGATGACCAGAAGGAGAAGAAAGAAAGATGTGAATCAAAGAAAGAAGTAAAGATAGTTGAGATTTTTGTGAACTAATGTCAGATATCAGACCATAGGTCCAGAAACCTCAGTGAAACTGCACCTGAATACATCATATTCAAACTTTAGGATATCAAAGGTAAATAAAAACCATCTTGAAAAATGTCAGTGTGGGGGCACCTTTCCTCTAGAGGAGAAAAGATGATATTTACATCAGACTTCTCAGATTCATGCAAGCAAGAAGAGAATGGAGTGAAACATTTTAAATTGTTGAGAGAATGTCAAAAACTTAATTTCTATACCCTGAAAAATTATTCTTTAAAATTGAAAGTTAAATAAGGACTTCATCAGCAAAAATTGAGGGATTTCTTGTCAGTAGATTTGCTTCGAAAGACATGCTAAAAGAAATTATTCAGAGAAGAAAATGGTGTAGGTCAGAAACTCAGATCTACAAAAAGAAAGGAAGAGGATCAGAGAATAAATAAGTGAAAATAAACAAACTTTCATTTTTCTTATTCTTAATTGATCTAAATGACACCAGTTATTCAAAGTAATAATAATATATTTGATTGCAGATGTTCATATTTATTTATGGATATCTGCTTTTATGTAAGTGAAATGAATCATGTTAATATAAGGGATGAGAGGGAGGATGTAGGAATATTTTTCTATCATAATAATTGCACTGCTCATGAAGAAGTGCAGTGTTATGTGAAAATGGTTGTAAATTTATAGTATAAATTCAAAATAAAGGAAAAGAAGAAATATAATTGATAGACTAATAAAGGAAGGAAATAAAATCATATAAAACAGTTGTAAATTTATAGTATAAATTCAAAATAAAGGAAAAGAAGAAATATAATTGATAGACTAATAAAGGAAGGAAATAAAATCATATAAAACACTCAAAGCCACCGAAGGTAGAAAACATGTTGAAAAGAATAGAAACAAAGAACGAGAACAAGGAATTGAAAATGGTAATAAGCAATAGTGTTAATCAAACTGTATTGATAATCACTTTTTAAATGTCAACATTTTAAATGCACCAGTTAAAAAAGATTGTAACAATGGATCCAAAAAACAAGACCTAACTACATGCTGTGTACAGAAAACTCATTTCAAATATAAAGATATATACAGGTTTAAAGTAAACTTTCATTGCTCTCAGATCCTTATGAGAATTTCTGTTTATACTTCAAATTTAAAAAAAATGATTCTCCATGGAAGACCTTCTGCCTGTTCAGTGTGTATGAGAAAAACCCAGTCTTTGGTTTTCACCATGAAGTTCTTCAGTTTCAGATCTTGTTCCATTTACTAAGAAAGTCTAAACTAGATTATCTAAATACACCTGGTTTTCCATCTACAAGTCACTTCTTGTGGCTTTTGGAAAGAGGTAGGATGGAATTAAAGGTGTAACTTCTGTGGGTTTGGCCTTAAGTACATTGGTTTTCCTTTATTTTATTTTACTTTATTATTATTATCTTTTTGGTACAGAGGATTGAACTCAGGGTGCTTAACCATTGAGCCACCTCCCCAGCCCTTTTGTGTTTTATTTGGGACAGGGTCTCCTTAAGTTGCTTAGGGCCTCACTAACTAGATGAGGCTGGCTTTGAACTTGTAATCTTCCTGTCTCAGCCTCCTGAGCCATTACAGTCATGTGCTATTGTGCCTGGCTGGTTTTACATTTTAAAAGGTCTTCCTTATTTATAATATGTGTTAATATTCATCTTATAAAATTCTGCATGTGAGAGTTTGGATTCTATTATAAACACCCAGTGAAGGATCCTTTCTATTATTTTATCTTTTAGATTTTTTAAGCATAATACCCTATGCGGCAATGGAATTCTGATAAAATTATTATAAAAGCAAAGCATAAAATCTTCAACTCTCATATTTCAGTTCTTACCATTAAGTCTCTGATCCAAGTCCTACATAAAACAACTAGCCCATTTCCTTCAGAATCTGATGGACTAAATTCAGCTGCATTTAAAGATGTTGTAAAAGCCCCCATAAATGTCTTCTCTGCTTAGCAAACTAAATCAAAATAAGATTCAATGAGATTTTCCTTGTAGGCTCACATTATGGGTTTTAGTAAATGTTGGGCAAAAAAAAATTTAAAAACATACAAACAAGAAAAAAAGATAAAAAGATATAAAACAAATAATAAAAACTATCAATAGGTTGCTGATTGTATGCTAGTCAAGGTGCTAAGGATTTTTATGGATTAATTGAATTTACAAAAGATGCTGTTGATTTAGTGTCTCATTTGATTGCATACAGACTATAAGAGACCCAATCATACATTTCATCTGCAACTTCTTGTGGAAACTAGGCATATCTTATATTGATCTCTTCTTCAAGTGTAATGAGGAATTTTGTTGTCTACTAGGGATCATAGGTTCTTGGAAGGCAGGTGGGATGCCTCTGATGTGGTTTCTCCACCCTTCATAGCAACTTATCTCAGTTATGTGTATTTATATACTTAAAGACATGTTTTCAAATATTCTGAAAGTCACTATTTAAGAAGTTTATAAGAAGGGCAGAATAAAGATTAAAGATCAAAAGCAAAAGGAGGCAAGCTTTGATTTAATCACTAGAATATTTATTTTCCTGAAATGCTGCTTTTTTTTTTTAAGCTTTCAACTTCTAGCATAGTCTAGGTGTTGACAGAAGTTTTGTTTTTAATCTATAGATAAGCCAACCTACAAACAAAGCCTGAAGATAAAAATACTTGCTTTGGAATGTTTTTTAAAAATGATACAACTTGAGAATTCAAGACTTCATAATTGCATCTTGAACGTGTCTGTGCATGATGCATATTTTAAGAACACTTCCTTTTTTTCTTTTTTTGTTTCTGATTTTTTTCCTTTGCAAAAGTTGTCACTTTATGGTAAGCACAGGCTGGTATTTTCATTTGCAAATTTTATTTATTTTAAATATTTTTATTTTTCTCTTTTCCTCATGAAGCCAAGATTCATTTATTTCTTTTGAATTTTTGTTTTTGATATTTTTCCCCAAATAGTGTTGCTCAGAACACTAATCTCATTTGATATCACTCAATAATAGATCCTATAATCAAATATGTTTGGAAAATGTTACATGAATTATGTATGTAAGAGGCTTGGTGCATATTAGAATAGTACAATTTGTGAAGTACAGGAACATTAAATTTTGCCTAATCAAGCATTTCCAAATAATTTAATTCTGGAAAATATCCCTTCCCCTATGCCTAGGGTTGATATTTAAAGTGTTTAACAAACCAGTACATTGGCTTACAGGTCAGCCTGCTCCTCAACCTGTCTTCTCACCTGCTGGTTCAGAGCCTTTGTTCTTTGTAGACTATGGCTCCCACAATTGATCACAGGATGATAACTGTGAATTGGGGATGCAGTTGGGCACTAATAATTTCTTCCCAGGATGCAGGACCACACAAGATCACTGTCTCCCCTACTTGGACATAGGCTGATTGTCATGGACATTGACCAAACAGCACTGGTGCTGGTCTTGATGCTAGAAAAAGTTTCTTGAGACCTCTGCTGTGCCAATCCTCAATCTTTTGCTTGCTGGACTGTTAAGAGACCTACAGGGTACCTGATAGGCTATGGAGGTAAGGCTGCAAGAGCAGCTTCTCAGAAATCTTTGTACTATAACTATCTACCAGCTGGTTTGCAAGTATTTAATATTTTCACTCCTGTACCATGATATCAATCAATATGTACGAGCTTATTGTTAGTTCTACCTATAACACCCACCAACACTCTCATTCTAGCTGTGAAACACCCTGGACGACTGCCAATCTATATACCATTTGGGTGTGTGAAAATGAATTATTTTTTCTCTGTCAATTGCTTATTACAAAAGCCATGATGGTTAGACCTCTAGGTCTGCTGAGATGGAGAATCAACAATTTTGGTTCTATCTTTGAGCTTCATAAAATCAAGATCCAAGAGATAGTACAAAAAATAGTGATGGATCTCTAGAAGAAACTAGATTGATGATGTACAGTGATATTATAATTAAAATTTGCAATAACAGCATAAATTCTGAAAAAAAAGTCTAATGCAAGTCTGAGCCACTTACTCCATTGTCATCTTGTGACATTTATATTAGAGTTAAATACACACTTGCATATGGGTGTGTACACATGTACACATACACACACACATGGAAGATGGTTTCCTACAGATTGCTTAAAAAGTAATCCTCATTTGCCTTTGTAGTGTATGGTATTATTAATGTAAATATATTCACTAGTAGAAATTAATAGAAATTCTAAGAAACTCACTCTCTGTAGACTATCCCTACTTCTCTAGCCTCCTTTCCTATTATTCCTCTAGAAAATTTGAATCACCCCCTCATATCCAATGAAGTTGTATTATTTCCACCTCACTAGGCAAAATGTATTAATGTAGAAGTATGAACACATTTCATCTGCCTCCCACCAACTCTCAAGTAGATATTGCATCTGCTTGTTTGTTCAGATATTGAATAGGAAAAACTACACAATAAAAAAGCTAGAAAAAGCCAACAACATTTAGGATACAAGCAAATCTTAGTAGACAGAAAATGTTGGCCAGAAAGGTGAGCCTGAGAGTGGGGAAAAGAAATCTTAGATATTTTTTAGAAATTTTCAGGAAATCTCCTCACATTTGCTGTAAATTTGAGATGGGAAAGATGGGTGGGAGAAGAATTTTCAGAAATCTCCATGTGGTTCACAAATAAGATCTGTGAAAGATCTCTGGGATGCTGTTCAAATGTTCTTGGCCATCAAGCCATGTTCATGTGACTGTGGTAATGTGGGGACTAGTCCTGAAGAAGCCAGTTACATATCCCCCTTGTACCAGGTGACTTCTAGTTGAAGATGCTCACTCTACTTCCTATTTTTAAGCTCCTGTTCATTGTCAAGGTTCATAGTTCTTGGAAGAAGTTTTACATATCACTCTATTCCTCAATGATATGAAATTTTACCCAGATCCTTCAAAATAGAGACTTTTTGGTATTTGCCATCTGGGTATAAATTTTAGGATGAAATGTCTTGAATTTCAAGGCAGAATTGATTCTTAATTCCAACAATACTTTCATCCAACATTTTTGCCCCATTGTTCTCTTCTCAGTAGGCTCTTTGTGGATGGAAGTGAGATTATTAAAAAAAAAAAAAAAAAAAAAAGACTTTCTCTGTTTATCATTATGGCCTATAGGAATTTGTAGTTTTTATCAGGATCCAAAGCAAATTTATATGACCCTATTTTTGTTCTTTTTTGATTAAACCAACTTTGTCTTTTAATTATTATTGATATCTGTCATTGTGTCTAGCACAATATAACTATTTCTTTATATTTCTGACTGTTGGAATTACCTGTTAGATACTTGAGGGGACTGATTTTTATATCCTGGCATTTAGCACAGTCTTGGTATGTTTAAGGAGGTCCACAGATGTGAATGATTGAATAAATTTTATAGGAAATTGGCTTTGTGAAACAAAGAGATGAAGAGGAAATTTTATTACTGTTTTAAAGAAAGAAAGACAGAAAGAAAGAAAAAATGCTGAGGTAAAATGAAAATAACCTAGGGCTTAGGGCCAGGATTCCTGGATTCAAGTCCCAGATGTCCTGTTTCCCAACTATCACTGTTTAATAGTCATCTACATTATACAACTACTGTCTTCAAATAGAGATTATCATTCCTCACTGCACATGGTTTCAGGATGACCTACTGGAATTAAATTTTCAAAATACAATGTAGACTTTCATAAAGATAATGATTAAAACCCATGTATTTAATCTGAAGTCATAAGTTATTGACCAGTGGCTAAATAAAGATAAGAAAATCTACAAGAAAGATGGTTTCAGTGCCAAGAGGTAACATCCTGCTCACTCTGGGTTGCTTAACACTGGAAAAGGCCATCGGGAAGGTTGTGAAATTTCACTTATTATTAAGACATTTCCTTGCTCTTAAATAATAGAAAAAGACTGAATGACCTTTGAAGGGACTAACCCACCTTATATCCTATGACTCATGAAAGAAAACAGAGTTTGTAGATAAATCAGGAGAACCTGCTTTTCCACTGTACCAAAGATAAAGCGAAAGTTTAGAAATGTCATAGCTAGCCTAAAAGCTATTTATTTCTTTGGTCAATTCGAGGAACACCCTCATCTCTTAATCTTCTTAAATTAATCACATCCTTTATGCAAAGTGCGTACATTAAGGAGCAGCAGAGAGATGGAGTTTTAATTTTTACCAATTCAATTTAAATGCAAATGCTAACCACTCACATGATGCTACTGTGTACATAATTAAGCATCATTATATACTACATGAATCATTTAGAAACCTCCGGAGAGCCATTCTACTCTGTAAAACATGCATTATACTGACAAGTAGCCGAATGACGTGTACTTCTGTCCTCATTAAAGCCTCCTTTGAATTACAGGTCAACTGATTATGGGACAACCTATGAGAAGCTGAATGATAAAGTGGGTTTGAAGACAATCTTGAGCTACCTTTATGTGTGTCCTACCAACAAGCGTAAGGTAAGAAATGTATATTTAGCATGCTACTGATTCATGGTGTGACTTCTAATTTGATTGGCTGACCTATCTAGATACCTAAAAAACCTTTACAGTTAAACTTCGATTAGAGATGTAAAGATGAGTTGATGGGTGGTAGGGTATGGAAGTGCCTGACACATCGTAATTTTCTAATCAGCAACTGTGAATGTAGGAGGGTAAGGGGTAGGAGCATCATTTCCATTTTAGAAAGGCAGCTACATGGAATAAGTCTTACTGAGTGTATGCCGCTGAGTGTCTTATAGAAGCACTGACCAATCAGGCACAAGAATTAGAATAAGCTTAGACAGGACAGAGAAAAGATGGATTTTCATCTGATGTTCCAGGTTCCCTTGACATAGAGTAAATATATTAACTAGAATTTCGGTGAATGCATTTTCCTACAACAGACAGGGGTTCATTTCTAAAATTTGTCCAGGCTGCACAGAAACATTAGGAAGGGGGCCCTGCCTTTGAGATTAGTCCTTCCTGATCTGGATCTTAGCTGCAAGGAACTTTGGAGATCATAATATTCCATGCCCTTATTTTACAGATGAGAAAACTCAGGTTTAGAGAAAGAAAGTGGTTTGCACATATTTCAAAGCTGCATGCACAATCAGGACTAGAATTCAGATTTCTTCCTTGGGAATCATAATTTTTCCACTTTATTATACCTTTCCTGTTAACAGGGACCATCTATTCTTCAAAGTTTTTATTTTCCCAGAAAAAAAAATGTCTAATTTTAAGTGAAAATGGCATTTATCTCAAAGGAAGAGTGACATTTTTATAAATTAGTGTCACCAAATTCTGAATATTAGGGGTGGGAGAGGTTGCTGTGTTGCTCAGGCTGGTCTTGAACCCATGGGCTCAAGTAGTCCCCTTGCTTCGCCTTCTAATTAGCTAGAACTATAGGCTTATGCCATCATGCCTGGCTCTCAAATTCTGAATTCTGACATTATGTCTAAGTATCCCATAGATTACATGAATTAATAGTATCCATCAGGAAATAGAATAGTGTTCCTCATTAATATGTCCTAAACCATATTCTGTGATAATGATAGCTCTGATCTCTAGGGTTCCATTTCCAATTTGTCATTAGGTACTGATAATGACCTTAGGGAGTTTCTACCTTTTGTCATCTGGACTGTAGAAGGCAAATGATACTAGCTCTTAAGCAACATCCTCAACTCTGACTCTAGTAAGTGGTTCCAAATCTGCCAGCCCTGGTCCCATCCTTGTGCTCTGGCTTGGGGCTCAGGTGACTGTATCATGTGTTTCTGGTGTACATCTAAACATTTCTAGTGCTTCAGTAAATGCAACATAATAGTTGAGCATAGACTCTGAATTTAGATGGCTTGAGTAAAACCCCAGCTAAGCCAATTATTAAATGTATAAGTATGGTGATTTACTTAATCTCTCCAAGCACAGCGTCCTCAAATTTAAAATGGGGATAATTACAGTACCTACCCCACGAGGGAGGTTATAAGAATTATCTGAAATTAGACATTTCAAGTGCTTAGCACGGGATGGTAAAGGCTTAATCAGTGTTTTCTTTTCACTTTATTCTCCTTTCTTATCATCTTGTTCCTCCTGCTTCATATAATTATTGGAGGCAATAGTAGTGATTATCCCCTATAAATAGCAGTATCCAGTAGAACTTTCTGCAGTGATAGAAATGCTCCTCTAAACTGTCCAATACTCTTGACATTAGCAACTTGTGGCTGTTGAATATTCAAAATATGACTAGTATAACTAAGTGAAAGAATTTTGAATTTCATTTAATTTTAATAACTTAAATTTATTTATTTAAGTTATGTGTATGGGTGATGACCACAGTACCAGACAACACAGATCAATAATGTGAAGCTCAAAATTAGAGCTATATCATAAACACTCCTCTCTTGTCCTTACTGCTTCCTTATTGGCCCTTCATCAATAATTAAACCTAATCAATTTTGATCTGCTGTATACAGATTCAAACTGAGGAACTAAAACTTTATCCTTTATTTCTTTAATGAGATTTAGTTGTTTGTTGGCTTTGAATTAATCCTCGTAATCTCTATTGATTTTTCCTCTAGTTCACATTTTTAGTAGATTTAATTTAGCAATCAACAAACTGTATGCTACACAGTATGCTTTACACCACAGGATAAATAGAGAAACAAATCAACATCCCACCTCCCAAATCCTCTATTCTAGTTGTGAATACAGTGTGATGCTGAACTAAGATTCAGAACTGGACCTCCCTGCTTTGAATCTGTTGCCAACCAGCAGGTGACTTTGAGTGAGTCATTTACACTTGCACTAAGGTTGTGCACGGGAGTTGGATTTGAAGAGTGACACTCTCAGGCTCAGATGTAGCTCCTGAGACTAGAAGGAACACTTGAGAGGGAGTAGAGCAAAGAGCCCTGCCATAGAACCCACTCAGTTAGAAACACTGACACTAATGAGACTGCATACATGATGGGTAGCCATTTGGAGGACTTGGAAAAGGATATTTGGCTAGCGGTATTTTAACTGCTCTGAATGAAGACTTGGCAGACCCTAGTTCCAGAGAGGGAGAAGTCACTGTCTATGACTGTGAGAGAATAGCTTTCTTTAGTCCTGTTGCTCTGCAGAAGCAGAGGTGGCCCCTGATGTTTAAATCACAGTGTTTATGAGGGAACCTAAACCAAGGGATCTTTTCCTCTACAGATAAACGAGGCCTTCAGGGTCACTTTCTGAGATGCTGATAGATTTAAGATATATTGGAGGACGATGAAGGTCTTTACAATGGTGCAAAAATCAATAAAGTTGACATAGCAGTATATTTGTGTACAGTTTTTCTACTTATGAGGTGAATTTATCACCAAGAAATATGTACCCCCATCCCCGCAAAGGGACATATTTGAACCAAAGGGATAGCACCTGCACAGCATTTTAAAGTATGAATATATTTGCTCCAATCAATATGAGTTTATGTTTAAAGAAAAGGAGGAGGAGGCAGAAGAAAGAATTATCAGACTCTCTTTTAATTATAGAGGACAAAGGCATTGAAGTTCACTTGATTCTCCTGGGACTCCTGCTATCCTCTGGTGAAAAGGGCAGGCTCCTTAAAGGGCTACGTTAATTCTTTCAAATCTCTAGGGTGCTATCTAACAAGTTAACATCTTTTGTACCAGAGAGTTTCTTCTGTGTTTCACGTTGGTGGGAGCAAATGGAATAAAACTGACAACATCCCTGTAACTGCCTGCATTCCCAGAAGCCTGTTTGTCTTCCCGTCCTTATTGCTATTTTTAGGTGTTTGTGAAGGCAAGAGCAGTTCTTTTTCAATCATCGTGTCTCAAACAGCAGGCATCGTGTCCTGGCTTTGCAGGCAGCTTGTTAAGGGCATTACTGGGATCAGAGTCCAGAATAAAACAAGCCCTAATTTACTGTTTAAATTGATGATCATCCATTGACCGCTTTTCTGCTGTAAATTATAGCAGGTTTCCCTGGATAGGTCTATTACATTAGAAACTATCATCTCATCCAGTGTCAATCTAGGAAATCTTGACTAGAAGACAGAGAGCCTGCTCTTAGGTGTTATCCTGTCTCACTCATACTTTCTTGCAGAAAACACCCATTCCATGGCCCCTGATATATGAGGTAGGCCCCGAAGAATAAGACCAAGTAGATCCTAGTGCCAGAAGACAGGCAGGGTAACTATCTGTCACCATGGCTTGGAAGGAGAATAATTCCTCCACCTCTACTTCATGATAAATTCCAAGGCTTGTTTGTGTCACCAGAGGTTTATTGGCTACATACATATAGTCTGCTAGGAGAAAAGATGATTTAACCTGTACCTGAGAAGAACAGCTGTGATGCAGAGGGAAATGGGAGAACTAATACAAATGTAGCAAAGGAAAAAAAAATCAATGTTGAAATCTCAGTCTCGCTCTTAAATTCTCTTCAAGTTTATTTGTATTCTGCCTAAAAAGAAAATTTATTTCTTTCTTTTTTTTTCACCCTGGTGGCTATCAGTGATACCTGTCCAATATTCCACAACTGACCTTATCTTGCTGTTTCTTCACAAGGTGTTGTATAGCATCTTTAAGGATTAAAGAATACAAAACTCTACTTGAAATTCTTGGAGAGAGAGAAAAAAACAAAACAAAACTGAGAAAAGACAATTCATTCAGTTGTCATATCCTCATGGTCTCTTCACACTATGTTACCTGCAAAGAAAAAAACCTAGATAGTATTTGTTCTTTACATTTCTTGTGTCCCTTTTGCTTCCCTGTTCCTTCTCATTTCTGTGTTATCACCTCTTTTTTCTTTTTCTTCTTTTTTTTTAGGGATTTATTTTTTTAATTAGTTTTAATTAGTTATACAGGACAGTAGAATGCATTTATGCACTTTGATATATCATACATAGATGGCGTATAATTTCTCATTTTTCTGAGTGCACAATTTGCAGCATCATATTGGTCATGCTGTCACATATATACATACAGTAATAATGTCTGTTTCATTCTACTATCTTTCCTATTCTGTTATCACTTCTTAATTAATATCATTCCTGCTGAGAGTCTTCTAAGGCTTTCATCCTATAATTAGGACCCTCGCTCCACAGAACACATTGATCATTCTTGCAGGTCTCTTGGTACCTGCCGGCATTAAACACTGTTTGCAATTTCTCCAGATGTTTAGGTTTTAATTACCATACTGTATGTGACACTTTCTAAATAAGTGTTTGATTATTGACTCCCTGTCTCTTTTTACCCTGGGCACACTTAATTCCTCTTGTCATTTGTTTTCCTGGGACAGGAAAGAGTTGTGTGTGCTAGGGTCAGACAACTTTTCTCAGGAAGGATTGTGGGATCAGACCCTACAAAAGGTGGGGATTTTCAGATTCTACTCTTTCGTTTAACAGAGATGGAAACTGAATCCCAGAGAGTTTCGTGACTTGCCTGAGGTTACACACAAACTGGTAAAAGAAAAGCTAAGATCGTGAAATTGCAGAA